GTAAGCAAGGCTACCCGGTGCCATACCGCCCATAGCGGTCCTCCTTCAAGCAAGCATGAATGGCAGACACTGGGAGACCAATTTGCAACCACCAAGGCTGTGTTACCTGTAGAGCTATAGAGTAGAAAATTCGGGTGCTACTCGACTCCGCACTAACAGTAAGGGTCGCCTGTCCACCGCGTGTTCTGACTAGCGCCTCCCCTCTCCGTTTGTCCTGTACACTGCGCATCCGTCCTGTACTGGGTATGGCGCGGCTGGAAGTGTGCTACCACAAATCAAAGTACGGTGACTCCCATGCTCTGAACCGCCCCTTGGCGCATGTCTGCTGAAAATGATTACTGACTAAGCATAAAGCTGATAAGGTAGCAATCAATGGGACGGTTCTATGAGAGCTAAGGTAAACACGCCTGTGACCTTTCCATCACTGTTTGTTTTCTCAACAAATCGACCGCTAACCGACCACCACTGGTGGACCAGGGAGACGGGCGAGAGAATCGTGAAATTGCCGCTTTGCCGCGCGGCAATGGGCGCGACATTTCCTTAGTGGGCACTGCCCTTTCGATTAGAGCATCAGATTTCATGCAGGGTGGTAGACACTTATGTCTACTTCTGGTCATACATTGTCTATTCTCGACCAATACCACCTAAAATCGTCGTCATTAGCGGGCGCGACGTCGCACGCGACGCCTATGGCGCGACGAATTACGATTCTCTTGTCACATACCCGATAGACCAAGATATCCGGGAGCGGGCTCATTCCGCCCCTCTGCTAACCCCCGGCTGAATACAGTGTTATCAACTACATTTGCTCATAACGATACTTTGAGAATTAAATCGCTTTCAGTGGAACTTTGCTGAAGCCAGAACCGCAACGAGAAATAGCAATTAAAAAGACGTGGCCAGGTGGGCCAAATGATGATCGTGGGACTTGTGGAAGCTGTGTGCCTCTGGAAGCCACTCTCCGAGAGATCCACGCCATGCTCTAACGCAACAAGTCTACCCCAAGCCGTCTAAATCCAAAAACTCAATGAGAGGGTAACATGTTCTGGCATACACTGAGCCATAACAGAACATGTCAATCGTTCTCGGTGAGAGGGTGCAGATGAGCAAACATGACGCGGTTCAGCCTCACTGGAGAGTAGCTCCTCCCGAAGCAAATAGCTTCTAAAAGATTTACTATTATTTCACGTTGATGAAAGCCCATTCCAGGAGACAAGGATAGAGATCGTAACTTTGAAATGATATTTTTAACTGGTATTAGTCGGAAGAAGCATAAAAATATAGTACAAATGATATTTGCTTTTTCTAATAGAGTAGGCAAAGATTATAAGGTAAGCCCAACTCCGCAGTTCTTGCTTTCCTTAAGGGCAGTTCAAGTGCTGGCAAAGTGGCGCTGCACGAGCTCAACGCTGCACACCTGCGTCCTGTTACTGGAAAAGCGGTGGGCCATGCGCCTGGGGAGCGATTACAAGCTTACGTCGTCAGTTCGATACACCGTACCCCAAATAGACGTTAAATCGCATGCGTAGGCTCTGTGAGCTTACAAAACATCCTCTATCATGACATCCTCCACGCACCAACACGTGAAGACCAGGCAAAAAAATGCAGTTGAGCATGAAGGACGGGGATTGCTTCGGCACTCCCTTCCCTGTCACACCTTGAGCAACCTACCCCCCCCCATACTCGCAAATTGTCTTGAAACGTGATCGGTGTTTTTTTTTCTTCCTGAACTACCAAACCTAAACTTATATTCCTTTATCGTTATTTAGGCGTGAGGGGGTGTTAGTGGGGGTGGAGATCAGGAGATGAAGCCAAATACCGTTCCACCAACAGCACTCGGACAGATGCCCCGCCTTCGAACTGAGCACACCCTCTTCCTTTACCATTAGAGACACACAACATGAGTTTCGAGAGTAAAGGCAGTTGGCGCGATAAATTGCTATATATAGATGCTGTACGGATTGTATGTACGACTGGCCTTAACAGATTTTCCCCAGTAGACCTCGGACAGGCGCTCCGTGGCGCCTTTTCCAAGGAGGGTACCCCTATAACGCCCTATCGAGCAACAACATTCTGTCCCAAACGCCTTCTTCGCCCTCCCGCCCACAAACGGACGACCTTTTCTGACGCTCGTATTCATTCATTTGCTGAGCAAATTATGAAGCAAAGGGATTGGTATGAAGCGGCCGTGATGCTGCATGCATACATGGGTACACATATGCAGCCGTATCTTCGGTAGCGGTGATTGGTAAGATGCCTACGGGAAACTCGTCCGAAATCGATTTTCAAGTCACTGAGAACGGAGGCTTTTTCTTCGCAGGATTTTGACCGTTTCACTCCGTTCTTTCGCCATTTCCCCACTACATAGCGCCCTACTAGCATTTTAGGCCGAGTGGGAAACCATTGTGCCAACTGCCTTTAATCTTCTATTCGTCAGAGTCTAGCCGACAATGAAAAGGATATCGAAAAGGCTACAAGAGGGACTTGAAGGCGTGTCCCGCCAGGGTAGAGTATCGTGATGTGTGAAATGATGCCAGTACAACCTCCCCCCCCTATCCTCTCGAGAGAGGGAGCCTTGGTACGACCTTCGCCATTCCCAGCACCTACCTACCTACTTCCACCCACGATTTTCCGCCGAGGGGGGGGGTGGGAGGTGGGGGCGCCACATACGACCCCCCCCCAGCCGAAACGTACGACCCCCTATTTGTTTCACACAGCGATGCCGCACCCTGTGTCCCGCAATTACTCACAAGAATCGAAGCTCCATTTGTTTTCTTTCACGCCCCTGTCTAGAGCTTCTCAACAACCGCGAAATATGCGTTCAGTACCATCTTGCCCTAATCGCAGGTAGCACGAAAGCAGCGATGAGCCGACATAGTGTCTGAAATCGGTGCAGAAAACAGTACTCCCTAATGAGAATCGTATACGCAATGAGAAAAGAGAAGGCAAACGAATTTGCGGGGATGAGGCGCAAGCAGAGGGAGCAATAGACCATTTTATGAAAAAGGAAACGCATGTAACCTGTATCACCCATTTTTCCGTTTATGATCGCACTCTTCGATCTCACTTTATGATCACAGTCCTCTCCATTCTCCTAGATTGAGGAAAGCATTATGAGCTTCCATAAGAAAGTTTGACTAGTGCGCTAGCTGTCGCGCACGTGTTGGTTTCAGCTCCGGGGTCTAGGTGGTTATGCGGCAATTCAGTTGTGAGCACTGTTAGGTCGCCGCGCTGGTGGGTGTGACTAGCGACGCCGCAGCCGTTGTGTAGGAGTTGTGCATCGAATGGCTTGTTGAAACTGTCAGGATCGCGGACGGACAGCTCGCCAATATTGGTCAAGGACGTCGTCCATTGACAATCCATGAATACGGTAGCACACCTCTGTAGTACGGACAACTTGAACTCAATTCCTTTGAACGCGTCGATCTTCTCTTTTTCTCTGCACTCTCTCGTCCGCATGGCACTCTATGGCCGTTGTGACTTCGCTCACTCCAGCTTTTCACCGACTATAAGTAGCTCACCCACCCCGGAGTCCCCTCCCTTGAAAAATCCCGTTTCCTGGCTCGCCATACGTTTTTTGCACGTTTCGATGCTTTGGCAGCCGCTGCCCTCTATCCGTCTGCGTCACAGGGTTTCGTAACAGGACCATGCACAAAAGTTCAAGATGTTGCAAACCGTTGCGCGTGACTGGCCGCGCGCGGCTTGAGCGGTTTGACCTGATCGGCTCACGAAGGGATCGAACGTCTCCAGTCCAGGCTCAATGGGGCACTCTCGAATTTTACATGAAGAGTAGTGGGTGCTAAGTATTTGGGCTCCGTGTACAAACTCACCCGTGCGCGTATGCGGCGCGGTATTTTGACGTCACCGCGGCAGGGGTGAGCGAATGGTGATGGCCTGCGTCTCCGCCACTGTGCTCCATGTGGAAGGAAAAAGCGAGAAAGGAGGATTGAACAAAAAGCGGATGCTTATAGGTGGCTTGGCGGTAGTGGTGAAAGAATACAGAAAAGTTGAGTATGAGAGCGTATTACTCCAGTCAACGGCGAAACCGGCTAAATTATTCCCTTTGATTATGAAACGACGCACGCAGCTTCTACGCAAGCGTTATACCGCAATGAGGTCATAACCAACTGCTGGCAATTTGGCAACCTTCACCTTAACTTTGCGTAAGAGCTGTTCGCGTTTT